ATAGACGATACAACAATTATGTTGAAATACAGATAATAGAAAATTTACAAAATTATAATTTATGTATGTATATATAATGGAAATTGTTTTAAAGCTTTATAAATTATATAGTTAATTTAAATACATTCCATTTAATTTTTAGTTTTTCTTTTATTATAAAACTAATTTAAAAATAATTATAATGTAAATTATATATTATATGTATGTATATAAATCTTATGGCAAGATTTTTCGTTTCGTTTTTTATTTTTATTTTTTTATTTAATGTTAGACATTTTTTTTATAAAAATAAATTTGTATTTTAATTTTTACAAAAGGTATATTAAAAATTTTTCTTTTTATAGCACACTGTATTTTTATATGCATTATTATTTATATATGTTTATATTAATTATACTTTAAATAAAGAAATTTGTTAAATTATGTTATATGAAATTATTAAGCATGGACAAGGAAATCGCAAATATTCCCAATTTTTTTTAACAAAATGAAACTGAATTGGAATTGAAAATAAAGTGAAAATGTATCGAGATTTCCCAACTTTCCATGATTATGATGATTTTTTTATTTTTGTTAAAAAAATGTTAATTTTATATATCCTAATCAAAATGCTTTTAAGCACAAACCTTAAATGTTGTTACATGAGTATGTATGGGTGTATGTATGTCAGTTATGTTTGGCTTGTTGCTATGGTTATTACTTTACAAGTCTGTTGTTACATACATGTTATGTTATTCTAAAATTCAAAAAATTATATATCTATATATGTATATATAAATGTAGGTAGGTGGTAGTTATTGCTATATAAGTTAGGACACAAACCTTGATACAAGGTGATACACTTATATTCAATATTCGATTATTTTTAATTTAACGGTCTTAAAGTATTTAAAAATAAAATATTTTAAACTTATTTAATGACTTAAAATTGTATTAAAAAAAATTTTATTTTATTTATATATGAATTTATAAATTTATGTATATATAAATTTGTTATTAAATCAGTTCATGTTACATGAGTGTTTGCGATATTTTTGTAAATATATTTGTTTTTTATTTATTGTCTTTTGAAAAAGGCACTGTTGTTGTTTATAGTTCATCATATTGGAAGACTTCTTAAATCAAACGAAAAGTATATATTTTTATGTATAAATGAAAATGCTTGTGAGTGAGTATTATTATTATTTGAAATGTTAAATGGCATTTGTTAATTCAGACATTAAATGTTATTTCATATTTTATATATAAGCATGGCATTTAAAAAATGTTTTTTGTGAAAATGAAAAAATTTAAAATTTTCGTTAATTAGTTTTAAAATAAAAATATATGTTTAAAGAAATAAAAACTATTTTTAATTTAGAAAAATAAATTTTCAAATTATTTTTTTATATTAATTTAGAAATAAAAAAAATATAAATTTCAAATCATAAATATTTTAACAAAATTTCTATAGTAATATTAATTAAATTATATATTAGTTTTTTTTTTACATATAATAAACAATTAACACAGCATTTTTTCTCGTTTGCTATTTTCTATGATTTCTTATAATTATTTACTTTTTATTTGTATATATGTATATAAATTTGTTTTTATATATAAAAATTTTTTTATTTTTATTTATTGTATATATCATTTATATATAGAATGGTCACAATATATATTTTTACATGAGGTTTGTGGCATAAAAAAAATCGGGAGCTAAATATGAGTCTAGATAAATTGTTATACCCTGTACGATAGAGTCAATACCTTGACAAAAATTTCCAAATATTTATCGGATACCTTATAAAGTTAAGGATAAGCATAGAAAATTTGCACATAGATTGTTACTACTCCAAAGATAATTGGCATTCAAAATGGGATAAATCGGTCCTACTTACGATTGGATCTGTATAATTGTTTATTCATTGGAGATCTCATAAAGGATATATAGTCTCGATCAGTATATATCAATACAAATATTCCATATCCTCTTGAAACCACCATATTCAAGACAGAGCTTTTAAACTTTGCACACAGATTGTTTCAACTCCCAGGATGATTGGTATTCAATGTGGGATAAATAGATCCACCTTATGATTTGGGCCACCACATAAAACGGTGCGGCAAAATTTTCAGATCTTTTCCGGTTTTAGCAGCACTTTTTATAATCGAAGTGGTGTTAAAAACGCATTTCAGATTCATAGATAAACTAATTTCGATATAGGCATTTATTTTTTAATAGCTTCCAGGTGAAGGCTCCAATCTATTCCCGCTATAAGGTGGAGTTTGCAACACCTCGAAATATATACCGGAGAACCCCTAAAGTAAAATTCTATGTCGATATAAATACTTGCCCGTCTGTCTGTTGAAATCTCGATAGAGATCGCCATATTTGAATTATAATTAAGTAGAAAAGTTCCCTAACAAAAATTACCAATATTTGCCCAATTTGTCGGTTAGCTGTCTTATAATCGTAAATCCATTATTTGGTATTTTGGAGGGTTTTAAGTACTTTTAAACGAATCTTTATATTTTGATCTTTTAAGTTCTCATGGGGTTTCAAACCTTCCTACTACTTTCTACTTTTTTTTTTCCTACTATTTCCTACTTTTTGGGTAAGTCCCCATATAACGCTACATAGCAAATTTCGGAATTTTAGGGAGCTTGGGCACATGCTTCAACCAAATTAGCTTTAATTTTATTTTTTGGTTTCTCGTTGAGTAGAAAATCTCCCTACCAAAAATAATCAATATTGGCCCACGTTTCCGGGTGTCGCCATATAAAACCCATTATTCGGTATTCGGGGGGGTTTGGACATGTTTTTCAACCGAATTCGGTCTAATTTCAATTTCTCAAATTATGTATTACCTTGGATCCAGGAGTATTATTTCCATGGAGGTGGCTGTAATTTCCGAATTCTTTATAGTTAAAATGTTTGTTAGCAGAAAATGTTCACTATGGGCCAGATTCCGGACTATGGAATTCCGGATTTTTTGAAGCTAACAAATTGAAAACGACCCCTATATTAAAATCCCGTCTTATTTTGGGGAAGGGTTTCTGGTGGAAAGGAAACTTCATCACCATATTTTAGGTAGGTTGGTTATCCTAATCTTATTTTCCAACCGAAATGCCTGAAAATTGTCATTAGAACCATTTTGTGTAACTGAAGGACGCCTGAGACCTTCAACTTGATGGTATTCCGGTTTCTAAGACCGATGCACATTTTTCAAAGTGGGCGATGATTGCACATTAATGGTTTCTGATGGATAGGTAACTTCTTTGTAGAAAAGTTTCGAAATAGGTTCCGCCATATTTTAGGTACTTTTAATATCCTAGGCCTATTTTCAACCGAAGTGCCTTGACGGCAACAAAAACGCCTTCGAAGAGAGTTTTAAATACTCTGCATAATTTTAAGTACATTAAGGACGACCGAGAGCCCAGGCTGTCCATATTTTTGTAATTCGAAAGCTTCTTAACCTGTCCCGTGCCCTTTTATACTTTATGGATGGTTCTGGCTACATTTTCTAACCGAAGTTGCCGGTAAATTGGTATTCCGATTTCAAAGAGGCTAAAAACCAGCTTCGCGGACGTTTTTCAGAAGGTCCGTTCGGGTTTCTGATAGATAGGAAATGTATTCGCAGAAAATTTGCTAGATTCCGCCACATTTTATGTACTTTGAGTATAGAAGGCCTCTTTCCCAACCGAAGGTTCCTTGACGGCTACAAAAACGTCTTCGCAGAAAATTTTCATTGGAGAACCTTATTTTGAAATAACCCATATATAAATGTTCCACATCATTTTAAATAGCATAAGGGAGCTCGAGACCTTCAACGTAATGATTTAGCAGTCCAGATTCCGGGGGGTCAAAAGCTTCTTAACCTGCTTTTAAACGATGGTCCTGGACACCTTTTCTCACAGAAGTTGACAGTAAATTGATATTCCGGTTTCTAGGGTGTTGAAAAATTGCTTAGCAAACATTTTTCCATAGGTCCATATTTTGTCACAGTGTCCATATAAAAGATCGGGACCCTAGGCACATTTTTCAAACTAAGTGGCCGGTAATACACACATTTCGGGTTTGTGGTAGACTTCCCGGCTTTTAAGTGGATGAGAAAATTAAAATATTCAAAATAGGTCCATGTTTTGTCTACACCCTATATAATTTCGCCATGACAATGCTCCAAACCGAATCTTTGATTCGTCATTGAAAGAGCTCGAAGTTTATCGAAGCGGATTGTAATCGGGCAAAATGTAATCAAATCAAAAAAATGTTTCTTAGAAAAGTTTCAATATAGGTCCATGTTTTGATATATACCCTATATAAAGACACTGTCACATATTAATGGTTTTCACATGATTTAATTCAGAAGTCTTTGAATTTACATGAAATTTAAAGGAAATATATATATATATATATATATCGGAGCCTATTTCAAAAGAAGTTCGAAGTTTCGCCATTTACATAAAATATGAGGAAATTTTATATGGGATCTATATTTAAATCTGAAATGATTGAAATCCAATTTAAACATTCGTCACTCTAGACTCAGAACAATACACTGTGCAAAATTCCGTGTCATTCGGACAGATATAATGTATTTAAATTCAAAAATTTTGGTTCGTAGTATATGCTCAAAAGTAACTATGGATTTATACTGCTTACAGAAAGACATATAACCCTTAGTGCTGTATAAATATTCTACACGCGAATAACTTAAAAATCTCATTAATTTCAGTCTAATTTTCTTCGTGCTCATCACTGCCTGAAAACGAATGAATTTATCGACAATATTCTCTTCAAGCTCCCGATTCTGCTTTTCAGACATAATTTAATCTCTTATAAGGTATATTCTATTTTTACAACAATTATTCTTGGTAAGTAATTTAAATCAATCTCTAACTCTCTCTCTCATACACACGCTCTCTTCACATAAAATTGTCACACTCATTTTCCATAATTCTCATATTTGACATATCTACTTTACTCCTCTCTCTCCCTCCCGCCCTTACTATCTCCATCATACATATTCCTCCGATTGCTTTTGTTGTTGTTGCTGTTGCATTCTCAACGAGCCCGTTGGCCTTTGATCTCCTCTCACCGAATCCGGCAGCTCCTGAATATCCTTAAACACTCCCACAATACTTTGTATATTTGGTCCCCAATTCACCAGGTATTCCCAACCAATTGGTGGTGGTGCTGATGGTGAGGCGGCACTATTCGCCTGCCGGTACAGCGCTCCCATATGTGTTGACATATCATCATCACTGGCCACTAGAGTACTGAGTGAACCACGAAAGGAAGAATCGAAACCATCGAAGGAATGTGGTGGCATTGGTGGTGGTTTCGCCACGCTTGGTCCACGGCTACCATCTCCACTCATGGCCCTACTGACAGGGTTACGTTCATCGGAAATACTTTTACTGGTGGAGTATTTTGCATCGCCATTAATGCTATTGTTGTCATATTCAATTTCGGAACAGGTGAAGCTATCGTTGCCACTTTCGTCGGTCGAGGTGGAGCTATGGGCATCTACATCTGTGCTGTGCAGACCACCTCCGAGAGATAAGTGGTGAGCTCCCACTGTGCCACGGGGAGCTTCACTGCTGGAGGAGACAGCATCGAGGGTGGAAACTAGACTTGAGGTGCGAGGTCTTCCATTAAGACGTTCGATTTCTTCCGCCGTCAGACCCATTGAGGTCTGGGCTGTTGTCTGCGCTGAAACGACAGGTTTTTGGCGACTGGCACTTGAACTCTGTCCGGATAGTTGTGACATTACAGGGCTGTTGAGGCTACGCTCACTATTACTGTGCAGGGCATCTTTGCCCACACCTCCAGAACTGGAAGTGGTGGCCAGAAGGGCACTTTGCAGAGGTTTACCGGATATATCATGTAGCGTCAAGATCCTTGGTTGTTGTGATGAAAGTTCCGAGCTGGGAGACAATCTTGCCAAGGGTGTACTTTGATGTTGCCGTGGGGTACTTGAAGGTGGTGGTGGTTGTGCTGCCTGAGGTGGTACCCCTCTTGGGGCAAATGGTCCTCCCACACCATGCCGTGGAGAATGGCGATGTTGTTGTTGCTGTGTCGCCGATTGATGTTTGTGATGGGTATAACTGGCCACTGGGGCCGGTGTGGCTTTGTATTTCCGAACCCCACCCGCCTCTCGATATCCCTTGTAGTGATAGACAATATCAATATCCGATGGAGCTATGGAACTGGCATTTTCCAAATCATAGTGTTCTAAATATTCCGAATTCATATCTACCGAACCCACATGATCATGCGGGTGATGTGTTTGACTAGGTGGTGGTATCGGCGGATGATGTTCATCCCGCATGGGACTTTTACTAACCACTTCTCGTTCGATAATGTCAGGCCTCTGGGGCCTCTGCTGTTGATGATCTCCCGGATTGATTTCACGTTCTTTGAATTTTTTCGATATCAATTCGGGGCCGACCATATGATGTCCTGGAACTCCGCGTATTAAATCACCACCATCATTGTGATAACCCACCTGGGCTTCGGAGTGCATACCACGTGAGAGTACATGATCTGCCTGATTTTGTGAGGCTCCCGAACCGCCCAACATTGTGGCCGGGGAATTGTGTTTGATTTTGAATCCCGGCACCCCACAACTGAGGCTCCCGATTTTCTCCTGTTTTCCACGGAACCTGTAAATGATGTAGGAACCCAAAATGGCCACAACCAAGATGACAAAGAAAACAATGACCAAGGTGACACCGATACTAATGGGATCGGCGACTTGAGCAGCACCAATGCCCATGACGCCAACACAGCCTTGGGAAACCTTGCCATGCATATGGACATCTCCAAAAACACTTCCGGAACCATTGAACGGCTGAATTTCATTATTGATCGTAAAGTTCGCCAAGCAACCTTCATAGCTCGAGGGCAGGTGCTCCGCTTGAAGAAATTCCTTCCTTGCACCACCCACTGAGAGCACCGTCAAGTAGGGATCCAAATAATCATGTATCCCTGCATAATCCAATTCTTCTCCCGCTCGCGAACCATCAATAATGAAACGTAAAATCCGATTACTCGTATGCAGTGTTAGATTATGCCATTTACCATCATTCAGCTTATTTGTATTCGCAATGGTCATATTGACCACACTATCCTGATTGGAATAATACAAAAGTTTACCATTCATCAGCTCCAGTGAGGTATATTGATTATTTGTGGCCGCAAATAGCATCAGGCCACTCTCCTTAAATGTGCGGAACATAAGGCTAAGAGTCTTCGGGGCTTCACTAATTTGTGCCAGGGCCGTAAAATTATTCCTCTCCAGGGTATATCTCCTCTGGCGACTGATGTCATATGACCAAATACTATTGCCAGCATAGAGATTATCCAGTAACTGCATGCGGCGATGTTTTTCCGATATTTGAAATTCCACATAACCACCTCCTTCGCCGAAGCTTATGGGTTCCAAAGACATTTGACAATTGGGCGCCAATAGACCACCTCCACATTCACACACCGCTGTATCCCATCTATCCATACAAGTGCCGAGTAGGCCACATAGTGATGTGCTGGGATCATTATATGCCGAAGCTGAGCATAGGCCACCCTGCAGATTATGTTTACAGCTTGAAGATATACCACGTTGCTTCAGAGGTTGGCTGAGATTTAAAGCACGACCGTTTATTGTGACACTGTGAACACAGCCCACCAAATCGTCGCTATGTATTTGACCAGGACGTTCCAGCACCGGATCGGCAGATACCAGGCCACCAAGTAGCAGAGGTTGTTTGTTGAAGTTCAGAGTTCTGAAAAGAAAAATAATGGAATTAATATTTTTTGGATTAAATTAAAAATTATGAATACAAAATTGTGATGAAATCGGCCGAATCTATATCCGGGACCTATATCTTAATCTGAACCGATTTGATAAAACTAAATACACGTAATTATAGGCCCAAATCGATTCGCTGTGCAAAATTTCGTCGAAATCCGATAAACTTTGGGTGTGTCGGACGAAAATATATATAGGAGCTATATCTAAATCTGAACCGATTTCAACCGAACTTAACACATGTCATTCTAAGATCAATTCGGTAGACTGTGCAAAATTTCGTTGCGATCGACCAAGGATTGGGAGTTTGGTCCATCATTTAGATTAAATAGGCCTAATAGGATACGCTGAGAAACGTTTCGTATCAATCAGACAAAAGATAGGCATGTGGTGCACAAGTTTCCGGAAATCGCCCGAAAATATATGTGGGAGCTATATCTAAATCGGAACCGATTTGCACCATTTCAAATGAGGTTCACACGCCGAATAACTGAGCTGTGCCAAATTTCAGCTCATTCGGATAATAAATGTGACCTGTACACGAAGATAAGATTCGACGTATATCCTCTTAAGGAACTATGGGTCTATTTTTATATATTTTTGTTCTACTATTAAATTATAGAATACTCACCCAATTGGTCCCACATCATCCGCATAACACGAACTATCACCGGGTCGGCATTCATCACAGCTATCACCATTTTCCGTACACTTGGCCACACTCAACGACATGACACGACCATTCCGCGTCGCCGTCACTTTATGCCAATTACCATCTGCCAAATTCAAATTACTATTTCCGCCAACCACCACTGTGGTTATGGCTGTCCTTACACCACCAAATGAAAAGAAGGCCTTACCCCGCACCACTTCGATGGCAACAAAATCTGATCGACCACCCGATTGTATACCATAATTATACATTAGCAATGCATCGGGTTTAGTGGTGGCAAACACAATTGAAATATCATTGGTCGCGGCATCCAGTGAAGGGAATGTCATATAGGAGAGATCACCAAATCCATAGGTGGTCCTTTCACAATGACGGCCATAACGTCCCTCAGGGCAGTTGCATTTATATCCCGGCTTAAGAGCCACACACACTCCACCATAATGGCAGGGATTGGGACGACACGAATCGGTGGCATGTTCACATTGATTACCACGGTAGCCAGGTCGGCAGAGACAAAAGAAGGATGACCCATCAGGACTGCTGCGACAGGAACCACCATTACCACAGGGATTACCGGAACAAACATCACCTCTCTCCTGCTGGCAATAACGTCCCTCGCGATTAACAGGGCAAATGCATTGGAAGTCGAAGCCCAAACGTCGACATTGCGAGTTACCGTGACAGGGATTCGGTGAGCAGGGATCTTGACGTTTATCGCATTGTTGACCCATAAAACCATCGGGACATTTGCACACAAAATCATGGGTGACCAAAGGACCACTAAATATCAGCGATTCACTGTCCACAATATATAGGGAGTGGGTGTCATGCAACCGGCGTTCGGAGGTACAGAGTCCACCATTATCACAAGCCTTGGCCATGGTACACGGGTCGTAACCAATTACCACCGATGAGGAACCTTGCATCATCCTCTGCAATACTTCACGTTTCTTGGCCAAGCGCTCCACAACATAGTGTGGCAAACGATAACCTTGATTTGACATTTTCAGAGCCACCAAAACTTCAAGATCGGTGGAATTTGAACTGCTTGTGGTGTTGTGGACACTGTAGACTATCAGCTCATCGGAAGAATCTATGGCCGACTTAAGAGTTTCCACAAATTGCCGGTAATGATTGGCTAGGAAATTTTCCGCAGTTGTGTTACGAACCAAAATTGTGATAGAGTTCGCAATTGTACTATTATCGAAGCTCTGGAATCCCACGGTCACCGTGGACACAACATCACCATGTTTACCATCATTACCGGACACAGAATAGGAATAGCCATTATTTAACGAGGTTTGTTCGGTAGTATACAGATCACAGGCATGGTGTATGGTCAGCAGACCTTTGGGACTCGATTGACTGTTGGGTTCAATGCGACAACGATAGTTTCCGCTTATATCCGGATCATTCGGATGGACATCGGCAATTTTGCCCACCGGCATAATATCATTGAAAACATTGAGGAGCACATGGACTGTCCTTGATGTCGAGGGACTATCATTTTGATCGAGGACCCTGATTCGCAATTTGTGTTGGGCCTTTTGCTTCGGCTGGCCATTATCTTCCACCTCTATTATGACTTCCAATTCGGGGGTTTGTTCTCGATCGAAACTGCGTGTGGATTTCACCAGACCTGAATGTTTATCTATGGTGATGAAGGATTTATGTTTACCGCCGATCAGTTGATATGTGAAGGGTCCTCCATTGGGCGGCAAATCAGGATCTGTGGCCTGTAGGGTCATTATTGTACTTCCTGCCGGCTCATTTTCTTGTATGTAACCGATGAGACCCTCCGCTGGGAAGGTAGGGCCATTATCATTGACATCTTGCAGCTCGATGCGTACCAATGTGGTACCCGTTTGAGCGGGTAGACCCGTATCAATTGCCCCCACCACCAGGTTATATTCAGGGATTTGTTCCCTATCCAAATACCGTGCTGTTTCAATTTCTCCCGACTGCGGATCCACCTTGAAGGTTTGATTGATGTTACCTCCAATGAGGGAATAGGTAAACTGATTATTTTGGGGACGCACATCCTTGTCCACTGCCTTGACGGTGGTGACCTTGGTTCCAATATTTACCGCCTCGGATATTTTGGCGGTATAAAGAGATTTCAAGAACTCCGGAGGATCATTACCGTCCTGAATTGATATGATGACCTGTGCCTCATCTGTATCATTACCCCTAATGCTGCCATAATTTTTCGCCAGTACCGTAAGCACCGCACGACTCTGGGTCTCACGATCCAAATGTCGGGATACATAAATGAAACCAGTATTCGGATTAATGGCAAAACCTTTGTCATTGCTGGAACCCACCAGGAGATAATAGACATTGCCATCTTCTCCGGCATCCTTGTCGGTGGCTTGTATAGAACCCACTGCGGTGCCCACTTCCGCCGATTCGGAAACATCAAAATGAAAGACAGGTTGTATAAACTGCGGATAGAATTCGTTGACTCCGCGTATGTGGACCACAACACGACAGAGGCTGTGCATTGGAGAATCGGGATTCGCGGCCATGATGTGTAGCAGATACTCCCTCCTCTCTTCGTAGTCGAAACTCACCGAGGACGTGATCACCCCCGTTGAGGGATTGATGGCAAAGAACGATTTTCCCGATCCACCATTTATGGAGTAACGAATTATGGCATTTTTCGGAGAATCCTTATCCTTGGCCTGGGCCTTGAAGACAAACGATTGTGGGGGTTTATTTTCCGCTATGAAGGCATGATATTCCGATTGATTAAACAAGGGAGGATTATCATTGATGTCCGTTACTATCACAGTTACTTGAGCAATTGCGGTTTTGGGTTTAAAACCCAGGTCCTGGACCGAAATATTTAAATGGTATTCTTGTATCGAATCATAGTCCAACGGTTCTAGTATGATAACAGCACCCGTTTCAGCATCCACTTTGAACTCGGAACGTTCATTACCTCCCGCAATGGCATAGTGTAACATACCATTGGGGCCCTCATCACGATCGGTGGCCGATACCGTGAGAATTGTCGAACCAATTGGCTCATTTTCGGGTACAATAACCTGATAGCTAAGTGCCGTGAATTTCGGTGCAAAATCATTTTCTCCGGTGACAATAATTTCCACATGGGCTTCATCACTTTTCGATGGGACACCGTGATCGGCAGCCTTGACATTCAATGCGAAATGGGTATTGGCTGGAACCTCCAATAATTTGGCCAACGAAATCCAACCATCATGTGGACCAATATTGAAATATTCTGTACCATTACCCCCGGTAAAGGAGTAATGGATCTCGGCATTAACTCCTGTATCCAAAGAATCATGGGCCTGAACCCTTACCACTCGTTGGCCCATGCGGGCATGTTCGGGTATGGGAGAGAGGTAGCGTGGCTTCTCAAATTTCGGTGGATGATTATTGGCATCGACAATATTTATGTTCACCATACATTCCGAATAGAGCGGTGGTTTACCATTATCTGTGGCAATCACAGTCAGGGTGTAGGTATTCTCCGGTGAGGCCTCATATTGGGAGTGTTTATATTTTATCGTTTTCTTACTGAAAATCTCCCCGGTGGCTGGATCTATGGTAAAAACATCTGAGGGTTGTTGCAGCGAATATGAAATGACGGAATTTGGTCCATGTTTATCACGATCATTGGCCACCACTTGACCCACAAATGCCACCGATCTCTGCAGTTCGGGGAAATTAAAACTATAGAACGTGTGATCAAATTCCGGTGCATTATCATTTTGATCTTGTATGGTAATGGTTATGGGGGTATCCGAACGCCAGGCACCATCCGAGGCAGTGATCTTTAGTATGTATTCATCCTGTTCCTCCCGATCAATATGTCCCGCCACAGTGATATTACCACTCAGTGAATCCAAACGGAATTTCTCTCCCGGATTTTCGGTCAACGTGTACAAGGCATTCGCATTAATGCCCTGATCCAAATCCATGGAGGTCACCTGGATAACAAAGCTACCAATCTCAGCATTTTCTGTGACATTAACGGAAAACAGTCTGGTGAATTTTGGTGGATTATCATTTTTATCCAAGAGGTTAATGACCACCGTTGCGGATCCACTTAGCTGAGGCATACCCTGATCCACCGCCACCACGGACAACTCATAACGGCTAACCTCCTCACGATCCAAACGTAGGGTTGTGTAAATTTCTCCCGAATCTGCATCAATTTCAAAGGTTCCCTCATAATCATCCACTAGGCGATAGCTGACCTCTCCGTTTTCCCCGGAATCGCGATCGTGGGCCTTCACCCTGACAATTGTCTGGGGTGGTGATTCTTCCTCCATAATTTCGGTATTATAAATTAATTTCTCCATCACAGGGGCATTATCATTTGCATCGGTGACATTAATGGTCAGCAGCATAACACTACGCAGTGGGATGCGATCCGAATCCAAAGCCTCGAGCCAAATTTCATATTGGCTGGCCAGTTCATAATCCAAACCATCTTTGCCAATTGTGACTACACCATTGGTGGCGTCAATGCGTACCGCTTCACCTAAATTACCACCAGCAATGGAATAGCGAATACTACCGGCCGCTCCTTTCTTGGGGGAACTGGCCATAATTGTGGTTATCCTTTTGCCCGGCTCAATATCTTCCGCCAGTAGAAATTGGGTATTGGCCATATAATTAAAACTGGGAAATGCTGCTGCAGGTTTCAAAGAGATCATCAATTCCGCTTGTGAAGACTTCGACGGTACACCCTGATCATAGGCATGTATAATCAACGAATACTGCCGATTCAAATCGGAACCCAAGTTCTTCTGGGTCTTAATAACACCCGTCTTCGCATTGATTTGAAAATACCCCACATCCTTGCCGCTGATGTTATACATAACCAAAGAATTCAGACCTTCATCGGCATCCCTGGCCCAGGCACCAAAAACAAATTCGTTGAGACCCGTTTTATCGGGGATATTTACATGGAATTGATTGGCTTCAAAACGTGGCATATTATCGTTGACATCGCTGACGGTTATTGTCAAATTTACCGCAGTGGCTCTTGGCTCCGTGGCTGAACTATCCTGGGCCATGAGGGTGAGGAAATACATTGAGGTCTCCTCACGATCCAAAACACTGGCTGTTGTTATTTCTCCCGTTTCGGAATTACAATGGAATCGTTCCAGTTTCTCTCCTAGCAGGGTGAAACGTATTTTGGCATTTAGACCTGCATCTTTGTCGAATGCATGGGGTTGGATCACCTTCGTACCAATCGCCATGTTTTCTTGTATTGTAGCATAATAGGATTGTCGCTCAAATTCCGGGCTATGATCGTTGACATCTTGGACAATGACTTTTACCACACCCGTTCCAGTGAGAGGGGGAGAACCTGGAAAGATAGAAAAAAAGCGAAAATTAATAGACTGAAGGAAGCCGTAAATTCCTTAAAGAATATTTTTTCCACACCTAAACAAGGCGTCGATTTTTTAAAAGAATATTTTTGAAAACCCATAAACAAGGCGTCGATGTTTATACCCTTCACCACTTTGTGGTACAGGGTAGTATATCTTTGTGCATATGTTTGTAACAGGCAAAAGGAAACGAATAGGCACATGGTTCCTTTTGAGAATATGCATATAATCACTTTCTGAGTCGATTTATGCATGTCCGTCCGTCCGTCTGTCTGTCGATGTTAAATTGTAAACAAAGTACAGGTCGCATTTATAATCCGAATTGGATGAAATTTGGCATAGGTCATTTATTTGGCCCAAGGACGAACCCTATTGAAATTGGGAAAAATCGGTTCAGATTTAGATATAGCTCCCATATATATTTTCGCCCGATTTAATGTAAACGGTCCCTATATATCTTTCGATTTCCACGAAATTTGGAACAGCATACTGAATTAAGCCTAAAACTATGTGTTTTAAATTTCGTGAAAATCGGTTCAGATTTGGATATAGCTCTCATATATATTTTCGTCTGATTTTAGGTAAATAGTGCACAAAAGTCCCTATAGATCCTTCGATTTCCACGAAATTTGGCACAGCATTCTCAATTAAGCCTAAAACTATGTGTTTTAAATTTCGTGAAAATCGGTTCAGATTTAGATATAGCTCCCATATATAGTTTCGTCCGATTTAAGGTAAATGGGTCCCTATATAGCATTCGATTTGCACGAAATTTGGCATAGCATACTGAATAAGGACTAGAACGAAGTGTATTAAATTTCGTGAAAATCGGTTTAGATTTAGATATAGCTCCCATATAAAGTTTTGTCCGATTTAAGGTAAATGGTGCACCAAAGTCCCTATATATCATTCGATTTGCACGAAATTAGGCATAGAGTACTGAAATAGGTCCAGAATGATGTGTGCTAAGTTTCGTGAAAATCGGTCCAGAGTTAGATATAGCTCCCATATATATTTTCGCCCGATTTAAGGTAAATCGGTCTGCAAAGTCCCTATATATCCTTGGATTTGCATGAAATTTGGCATTGGGTACTGAATTGGATCCAGAATAAAGTGTTCAACGTTTCGTAGAAATCGGTCCACATTTAGATATAGCTCCCATATATAGTTTCGTCCGATTTAAGGTAAATGGGGCGCCAAAGTCCCTATATATCTTTCGAATTCCACGTCCAATTATATGTAAATGTTGCACCAAAGTCCCTATATATCCTTCGATTTGCACGAAATTTGGCACAGCGTACTGAATTAAGCCTAGAATGATGTGTCCTAAGTTTCATGAAAATCGGTTCAGATTTAGATATAGCTCCCATATATATTTTCGTCCGATTTTTTGCAAATAGTGCACCAAATTCCCTAAATATCTTTCGATTTGCACGAAATTTGGCACAGCGTAATGAATTAGGTCTAGAATGATGTGTGAATGATCGGTTCGGATTTAGATATAGCTTCTATATCTGACCAAATGAAAAAAATAATATCGGCTGCAGTATGACATGTTTATGGATCCAATTTCATTATACTGGTCCTTTAGGATTCATCTGTTTAATACACCCAAAGTGGTGAAGGGTATCATATAGTCGGCCCGTCCGACTTTACTACTTTCCTTACTGTTTATTCTTTAATATTTTTGAAAAGGCCTAAACAAGGCGTCGATTTTTTAAATAATATTTGTATATAAAAATCATGGTGTAGTGTATTGCATTGTCGTCCCCGTCCGACTCTTATATTTTCCGTACTTTATATATTTTTCCATTGTACCTACTAATGCTTAAACACAACTCCATTTTTTTCCTCCAACATTAGTATTGTGCTGGCATGCCGAATTATATTTTGCCAAGGGGTTAAATTTATGGATCTATGCAAATACGTATTATATTAACTTCATTGCTCGCTGCATGGATTGTCGATTAAGAAAATTGTTAAAGGAAAACAAAAAAACTATCAAAGACAACGAACAAAGTTCATGGGAGTGATATTGAAATATGACCATATACTGGTTATATTCTCCTGAGGCATGAATATCAGGTTTATATAGAATTTCCATAAATAAGAAAATTTTCTTACTACACCAAAGAAAAAAAAATTGTACATAAACACATTATTAGTTGCGTCTTTTTTGGTGTGGCCAAAAGAGATATATGATTTGTTTTGAAATTAGATATTCATCGGAAATTGGATATATGCAGTTAGAAATAAAAAAAAATATTAAATCAAACTGGGAAGCTCAAAACAATACAATTTATTTCTTCCTGTTTTTTTTAAGGAAATCACATCATGTTTGTTGTTGTCTTCATTTATGTTACACACATGTCAATATTTTTTGTACCACTTATCCATGGCTGATGTGATGGTGACGATGACAAAGTCCAGCCCACCGGTACAACAAGTCATAACTTTAATAATCGTATCTTCACTCACTCACTCACACGACGAACACAGAAATTTCCCCTCCAATTCATAATTACAAGAAGCCCAACCCAATTGCTTAGAGTCGGTTAACAAAAACAAAAAGAAATGTTGACCAATATGCGTTTTCTTGTTCTTGGCTACTTTTTATGTTTGTGGTGGCTTTAAAACTGAAGGAGAACAGAAAAAAGTGTTACTCTTTAAAATACATTCACCATATTATGCTAACTCGAACACGCACACACACCTACATATGTGTTTTTTCCCGTCAAAGTCTTATCATCATATTAAATGAAAACTTCTGATGTGAAATTTTATATCGCTTACAGTATTTGGTCAGAGTATTATGTAGCCGAGGCGTGGCTTGAAAAATATTATTTAATCATGGTCGTCAAATGATTGCCCTTAAAAATAAAATCAAATAAAACGTTGTTAAGTTCCGTCTGGCCACCACTATGTGTTGGATATTCAAAATACCTGATGTCGAGGGGATATGTTATGGTAAATTGCTACCAGGGGATATTAAATACCAAACTACAAGCAGCCAGGTTGAAAAAATGTTCTACCGGGGGGTTACATTTATAAGCCTTTACCAAAACCTAGAATGATATTGTTCAAAGGAACCAAAAATATATTTTTCCATCCAACTCGGTTAGAAAGAATCCCCGTTACCGTTATATGAAATTTACCCTAGGACATTAATAATTTTTTGGTAGGCACAATTGGGGCTATAAATATTTAATAACAGTCCATATTTAATAACAGCCCGATTGAAAAACATTTCCATCCTGCATCATGACCTAACTGCAGACACAAGCGTTACACACTGAAGACATATCTAGATCATCATAGAACTTCACCTAGTCAAGAATAAAACTCTATATATTAAAAAAATATATTTAAAAATTTTACTATCGAGGATCCTTAAAAATATATTCCTTAATAAAATCTATATTTGCTGGCCTTTGAAAACAAATCTACACCTCTACATTTAAAACCAGTAAAGTCGGACGGGGCCGACTATATGATACCCTTCACCACTTTGGGTATATTCAACAGATGCAAACTAACAGACTTCGCATTTTTGAAAAACCATTAAAACAAATCGAAAGATATATAGGGACTTTGAAGACCCATTTTCCTTAAATCGGACGAAAATATATATGGGAGCAATATATAAATCTGACCCGATTTTGTCGAAACTTGGCACACGTTATTCTTGACCTAATTCAGTACTTTATACCAAATTTCGTGCAACTCGAAAGATATATAGGGACTTTGGTGCCCCATTTACCTTCAATCGGACGAAAATATATATGGGAATTATATCTAAATCTGGACCGATTCAGTACGCTGTGCCAAATTTCATGCAAATCGAAAGGAATATAGGGACTTTTGTGCACCATTTACCTTAAATCGGACGAAAATATATATAGGAGCTATATCTAAATCTGAACCGATTTTCTCGAAACTTTGCACACATAATTTTGGACCTTATTCAGTACGCTTCGATAAACTTCGTGCAAATCGAAGGATATATAGCGACTTTGATGCACTACTTACCTAAAATCGGACGAAAATATATATGGGAACTATATCTGAATCTAAACCGATTTTCACGAAATTTAACACACATTATTCTAGACTCAATTCAGAGCGATATGCCAAATTTCGTGCAAATCGAAAGACATATAGGGACTTTGGTATACCATCTTCATTAAATCGGGCGAAAATATATATGGGAGCTATATCTAAATCTAAAACGATTTTCAAGAAATTTTACACACATCATTCTATACTCAACCCAGTACGATATGCCAAATTTCGTACAAATCGAACGGTATATAGGGACTTTGATGCACCATTTACATAAAATCGGACGAAAATATATATGGGAGCTATATCTAAATCTGAAGCGATTTTCACGAAACTTGGTTGACATCACTCTAGACTCAATTCAGAACGATATGCCAAATTTCGTGCAAATCGAAAGATATATAGGGACTTTGGTATACCATTTCCATTAAATCGGGCGAAAATATATATGGGAGCTATATCTAAATCTATACCGATTTCCAAGAAATTTTATACACATCATTCTAGACTCAATCCAGTACGATATGCCAAATTTCGTACAAATCGAAAGATATATAGGGCTTTACATGAAATCGGGCGAAATCATATATGAGAGCTATATCTAAATCTATACCGATTTACAAGAAATTGTACACACATCATTCTAGACTCAATCCAGTACGCTATGCCAAATTTCGTACAAATCGAAAGATATGGTGAACCATTTACACTAAATCGGACAAAAAATATATATGTGAGCTATATTTAAATCTGAACCGATTTTCGCGAAACTTAGCACACGCCATTCTAGCCTTAATTCAGTACGCTATAACAATTTTCGTGCAAATCGAATGATTTTCCGAGACTTTGGTGCACCAATTACCTAAAATCGGATGAAATATGGGAGCTATATCTAAATTTGAACCGATTTTTACGA